TTTATAGTGACTGACGTTTCATGTCAAGTCCCACGGGAATGCTGTCGAAAACGGGATAAAAAGTATCCTATCGCAATTTCCTGGCTCTAAACTACCTCCCTGCCAATTTTCAGCTAAATCGGTTCAGCCGTTCTTGAGTTTATAAGTGGGGTAACTAACACGACTTTCTTTTATATAGTATATATACATAGATTTGGTAATGAAAGATTGTTTTATTTATTCATAAAATAATATAAAAGTAAGTTAGTCAGATAACTTATAGTCATTAAAATACAATGTACTTAATAACGGCTTTATAATAATAATATGAATTTAATTGATTCATATGATTTTATCAATTAAAAATAAATTATGCAATAAAAAATAGGACTATTTTTTCTTGCGTATAAAATTAATTGCAAACGTAATGAAGAACAAATAGAATATATACATATATAAAATACTAAGAAAGGTCGCTATTTTATATCCAATTTATATATTTTTTTATTTGTGATGAAGAATCGTTTTGAATAAAAAAAAAATATTCGTACATAATGAAAATTCAGGTGCAAACAAATCTATTTAGGCATCACTACATAGATAAAAACAAATTCTCTCAGCCTCATATTTCGACTAATCAAAACAGACATTTGACTATTAAAAGGAAAGTAAATTGTTTCCCATATTTTCTTTACTTATAGAATTATAAGTATTTCTTAATAATTATACGAAATAAACTTTCTTAAAGAGAGTTATATACGTATACACGTTGTGACAAAATTAAATGAAATTTTACATATATTTTCTAGTGGCTTATTCCAACATCTCTTAAGTCGAACAATTTTGAACCTTACTATGAGTTTTTGTACAGTTTAAAACTGGGGTCACCGTAAATTCAGATAGTGGTTAAAGTGTTCAATTCAAAATATTCCGCGTTTACTTATTCAGTGTTTTCTGTTGAATAAGCATAGTTATTACTTATTAAGATTACTAAGTGGCTATCCTCCAATTATTAAAGTCATTATAAATTTATTCAAATAATATCTTAGAAGATCTGTAAATCAAACTAACATTTGTAAATTTTTTAATATATTTATTAATTTATCCTTTTACTATAGATGCACTTAAAAATATTTATTAAGCCTTTTTGTTACTAATAATGTTGTTTTACGACTTTGTCATATTAACAACTAAATTAAATCAAAGGACAAGGTTCAATATAAAAGATAAGTTGAATCACTGAGGCCACTTGACAGTGTAATCCTCCTTAATACATACGTCACGATCATTTCACTAACCATGCTTGGCTTTTTTTAACATATATTATATATTATTGAAACTAATATTTTTGCGGATATACTACGCGACTTTAATTTGATAAAAACTACATACTCCCGACGTTTTCATTTTTACGAGACATTCTCGTCTGCCCTTGATCAGGGTTGCTGTAAGTAAACTGAAACGTCGTAATGTAGTTTTTAACAAAAAATAAAGTCGCGTAGTATATCCCCAAAAATATTAGTTACATTTTAAATGCTCGCGAAAATGTCAGATCTCATTATTTTATTTTCGTCCTATCTGTAAAACTTACTACCATTTTTCGCCGTTAGTTTTCTACCGTACTTCTCGTATTATCGTGTTGAATGATAAACGTGAAATTCGTACGTACTGATGTTTGCGAACTCGTGCTAAACGTAATATGCTCACCTTACTAATTTTCATAAACACATTTAGGTATATTAAAGTAATTAATAATTATTGCTGTTTAATTAATAATAGTCTGTTTTTCCTTTACTGGAAATATTTTAATGAAATGTGATACTTCCAATTTGAATATTTTTCTTTTGATTCGAAATGATATCATATTTAGTGGTAGTATTTTTTTTGTTTAAGTACTAAAATATATGAATATATCCCCCGATTTTTTCGCTAACGTTTTCTTGGTTAGAAAAAGGTTATTTTTATTTTCTGTCGTAGCTCAAAATTATTGAAATGATATTAAGATAATACTTTCAACTTGAATACATAAAAAGTACTGTATGAGTAATTTTATTTATATTTTTCTTAAATATCTGCTTAAGGTGCTTAATGGCGATTATTTCATACTACTGTAAAAGATATTTCTACAGCAATAAATTAAAATGTTTCTTGATCAATTTTGTTAGATAGTAAATTTGATAAAACCAATCCAACCTTGGATATCGTGTAAATAGTACATAATATAAAAATAACATATTTCGTTTTTTAGCCAAATATATAATAAAGATTCACAAGAATCATCACAAAAAAAAAAAACAATTCACACTTCTAATATAGGTAAATCTAAACTTTTCCAAGGAAATATATGAAGTTTCGAGCTCGGAGTAAAATACTGTGCCCTTAATCCAAGTTGTCATAGTCTCACTACATTTAGAGCCTTAAAAAGGTTTTCATTTCACACACCCACATGATAGTAACAACGTGAACTTATCAAAAAAAAACGAAAACGCTTCGTATCTATTGTGGCGATGCAAACTTGTGGTGTTAGTACAGGCTTATAGATTTACAATACTATAGCTATAACTAGTGCCTAACGTTTCTTTAACAAATAAATATGTTTTTTTCTTTACATAAGCAACCTATTACGATTAACATATATGTATTATAAATTATTATCTCGAAAACCCTGAAACAAAACATAAGCCTATTCATTCTGCTAATGTTAGTAGAAAATATGCTGCTTTTTTTTTTCTTCTAGACTTTATACTAACTCGTCATACAAGATTTTATTTAATTAGTTGGGAAGTCAGGACATCAATGACCATTAAATCGAAACGTTAGATGTATGTGTGTGTATGTAAGCTTATGTATGTGTGTGTCATTATATAATATAATAATTTTTAGTTGGTTTAGTTATTCATGGAATCATAATGATATTAATGTGTCTGTAAGGTAAACGCCCCTGAGTTTGAGATATAAATTATGCAAATTTAATTTCCTCGTATCCATTAATACTCTTGGAGGTAACTAACACATACTAAAGCCGTCTAAAAACGTCAGATATTTGTTATTAACTAAAGACTTCCTAATTGCATTGTGATATTAAGTCACCCCCTTTGCCGAGCACGTATTGAATTTATGTATCGATTAAAAAAATGTATATAAATTTCTTGTCTTAATAAATTTATCGCTGAGTTAAAATAGCTTTTTAATATACAAATAATAAAGTGCATCTTGTCTTATAAACGATTTCCTGCGAACGTCACAGTAATGTCTCATAACCTAACGTTTATCTCCTTTGTTTCGTAAGTAATGAATCATCACGTTTCATATTAGTTAATATCAAAGATTTCATACATCTGATAAGATTCAAATCAGTTTCTAGGGTTTTATTTAATTATTCAAATGTACGTCTTATTTTAACTACCAAAAGGGTTTGGTTCGAATGCTCTCATTTCGTAATAGTGACATTGGTCTGTTGTTAGCCCTTATTTAGTGTGTTAGCAATTAGCGAGACTAAAATTATGTTTAGCGGAGTACCTTGTACGATTTTGAATCGTAATTATTTTCGGACTTTAGTTATTTTAAGATCATGAAGCAGTTTTTAAGCAAGAGGATATTATTTTTTTAGAGATATAAATGGATAATTAATAACACTATCCTTTCATTTAGTGATCGTAAAACGATTGTGTATAAGAGTATCGTTTGTAGCCTGATGCTTATTATCAGTAGCATTACGTCTCTAAAGAAGCCTTTGTTTTCAATTGTTCAGCGTATCGTAATAAAAGCATTCACTATAATTTTTGCTTCCATATTCTTAATATTGATAAATACTCTAAAATGACAGCAACTGAGTAAAAATAAGAAAAACTTGCAAGCATAAAGTTGATAAACGAAATATTGATTGAAAATACAATGATGTAACATTTTGATAGATTAAATATTTTAATTAAGTAATAATGAGATTAATTCAGCTTATATTGATAATTAATACCGAAGCTTAAAACCTCTTATATGGTTTACTGGTTGATTGAGGCTAGTATTATAAAATGGGACAAATATGTACAGCATTCACTTATACCACATACAACAGTTTATACTGTTATTCGTTTTGCGATGTGGTGTTAAAATTGTTTAACTGTATGCTTACCCTTAGTTTGTGAACTCACACGAAGTTACAACAGTTTTTCATCATATGCTCGCACATTACAGTGTTAAATTAGGTTGTTACGTGAGAAACGTGTGACTTTTGGTGTGTAGTGTTACAGTGAAAACTTGTGGTAATCATACTGGACATTCACGGTCGTCGCCCCGTCCTACAGTCGGGTGTCACTTCTCATTGTGTACGTTTAATTTGTCACAGTCGTAGGTGTGATTCATAATGATATATCCTTTAAATTTTATACATGATTAGAGTGCAGTACTTGCTGGCTTATAAAATATAGTTCTTATATTGTTGTAATTAAGTCTTTAAAACATCAATACATCCATCTAGTTTATAAGAATAAAACGGCAGTCTCTTTTCAATCATACATTGAGTGTATACATTTCCTATTTAATAAACTATAACAAAGATGCATTTGATAAATAGGCAAGTCGCCATCGCAGATGAATCTGATGTATTGAAGGTTGAATAATATGGTATTCAATGAAATGCGTTGTCGGGTTCACCGTTTCGAGTTCATTCAATTTATTTTTGCTCATTTAGGCTAATAGACTTGAACTGGTATTTGAGGTTAGCCATGACGTAATGTCAGGACTGTGAAATATTCAGTTAGCAAGCACATTATGAACTTTTCACTCGCACATAATTACATATAAAATTAATATACGTTTTTGACTTTTAAATATTATCGATCAGTTGAATTTTTGCTAAGTTTAAGGTTGATATGATTTTGTAATGTAATGTCATGTGTAATAAGTTTCGTGATCGTGCGAGAACTTGTTTTATAGCAATAAGAATTCTTAAACCAATTATATTGATATTACAGCCTATACTGTCTTTTGTTTAGTGCTATAGCTAGTTAATTTTGTGATTCCAGAGCGACTCCGTCAGCTATTTCTTCGAGGAACTGGAGCGTATAGCTCGGCCTGATTACATTCCTTCACACCAAGACATCCTTCACTGTCGGAAGGCCACTAAGGGTATCACGGAGTGTACTATAAACATAAACAATGTACCGTTTGTTTTCGTCGATGTCGGAGGTCAGAGGACGCAGCGGCAGAAGTGGACGCAATGCTTCGACTCTGTAACCTCTATATTGTTTTTAGTGTCGTCTTCAGAGTTCGATCAGGTGTTATCAGAAGATAGGTGAGTTTATCAATGGTACTGAGAATAAACTTAATATATGTATAGATGAGAATTGTACTATTTAGCTCTCATACTTACTAGGGGCCGCAAAAATTAGGAACCCTACAATAAATTTTGTCACAGATTCGTCATAAACAATTTAATAGTCGTTTATACATAGTCCAAAGTTCACTTGCATGCAACTATGTAATATATATATTTAATTAGTAATATTTGTATGCAGAGTAAAAAACTATTATAAAATGTTAATCCACATCCGCAGTAGATTCAGTCGTGCGTGGCGGTAATCAATTAGTCTGTGGTGTCGGTCATACTGATTATACATCTGTCTCAAATCAATCTGTTTATCTCGTAGCTAAGCTGTTTTATTATTCATTTGTGTGTAATATAAAATGCTGTTTAAGTACTTGTATGCGTTTACGTCGATTATGCTTTTGTTGGAACATAAAGATATGCATGCATTCATTCCTGGTATAGCATAGAATATATAATTGACAAGTATACTTAATAGAAGTTTAAATAGTTACACTATACGTTGAGTTTATAGTTTTCATTCATGAATCTTCGCACATTATAGTATTGACTTGGTTTATTTAATGTGAAACGGGAAATGAATAGTACGTAGTGTGAGTTACAAACTCATAACTGGCTTATAGAGTACGAAAGAAATTTGTGAAAACCGCTAGCATCTTCAGTTTCTATAATGAAATAAAAATCAGTGAAATCGATCAAGACACTTCATAACCTTCTACACCCGCACGATATATATCTAATTAAGGTCTAAAAAGTCATTATAATAAACCATTTTTTTTCATTCCAACCATAATAATAACGGCGAAGGCTAGATAGAAGCTGTTAGGTATTTTTTTGAGCTCATTAATTTGAATATAGTCAGGTATGTGGATATGTCCTCTGACCATGATCATGATTACCACTAATGAGTAATCAGACTATACTTGTAATAGTGTGTATCTTAGAAAATGGATAATGTATTATATCAATAGAACTTTTATTTGATTTATATTTTTCTAATTGTTGTGGTATTTCAACTATTTACTATATACAGGGTGACTGGTGAATTACTATCAATATTTTAGGAGAATACTCGGTACATGATTCTCATTCGAATTATGTATAAAAAATAGGTACTTAATTTTTGACCAAATTTCCGTATAAATAAATAAAGTGTGGACACGTTCCAAGTGTTCCAAGTGTGAACGCGTGCGGCGGCGTGCGGATACAACACTACGTCGCGACACGCGTATATGTGAGTGTGAGTGTATACCTAATCTGTAGGGTGTTCACACGATGCGTAATTAATTACACAACTTTTGGTTAACTTTACTTAAAAGTTTATTAATATTTATGTTATATTAATTTTTTTATTTTGTCATATATGATCGTCAAATATCACGTCCTCAAGTATCGATAGTAATTCACCAGTCACCCTGTATATTTTTGATTTTGCCTGGACTTAAAATTAGTGGTATACTTAAAAATTATCTATCCTTCATTATTAGTGAAGTCATTGTAAGTCGAAAGAGAAATCTGGATATGTGAGCAATGCTAATATTAAACATCGGTTTGTCACGCGGTTCGCCAAAAACGTGTTTAAATGTCCTTGAATATTCGATGCTCACCAAATCAAATATTGTAACGAACTAATCAGTTGTAGGCCAAAATAGCTGAATGTAAATCAGCGTTGAACGGATAACAAATTATTTATAAACCGACGTTTTTAGATCGGCTCCAACACCTTACCACAAGTTAGCTCCGTCAATATAAACACAGACAGTCCATTCATATACCTATACACTATTTATGAATGGGAACTGAGTTTTAACTATTCCAAGTAGTGGTTACTGTATTTAAACAAGTTAGTTATGTATATGTTATTCACGTTGCAGGAAAACTAACAGATTGGAAGAGGCGCTGAACATCTTCGACACTATAGTAAACAACGTTAACTTTAAAGGTATATCGATTATACTATTCCTAAACAAATCTGATCTATTGGCGAAGAAATTATCGAGCAAGGAGACGGATATACGCTGGTTTTATCCAGCCTTCGAAGGCGATCCACAGAACTTGAGGGACGTTCAGATGTTCTTGCTCAAAATGTTCGCGGATGTCCGCAGGGAACCAAAGACGACGCTTTACCATCACTTCACAACAGCCATAGACACTCACAACATAGAAGTGGTCTTCAACTCGGTCAAAGACACTATACTCAACCGTAACTTAGAATCTCTGATGCTACAGTGATTGGAACTTGTAGATTTATTGTTTGTGATAACGTGTATGGTGTTCTGACTTCTGTTTCTTTCTCACTACAGGAAGTTCGGTTTAAAAAGACAGATTAATATATATGTGATTTTGTTTTAAATTATTCGGCCTAGAAATGGCCTAATTCAGCAGTTTCACGGCGCGTACTCCGAGAACTGAGTCTGTACAGTATATAGTGATACATTTGTATATCTGTTTATTTATGACCAAAAATGTAGATTTTGCACACGAAAATATATAATATTATTATGATCACTTTATATAACGTATGATCGCTTTTACTTGTGTGTACACAAGGGTTTAGATTTAGGCATAGTGAATATATATTTGTAATGGTTGCATCAGGCAACATCGAAGCTATAAAATATTTAAGACTACCCGCCTTTCAAATTAACTGCCATTTGAATTTCAAATATGGAAAACCGAATAACGGAATCGCAATAGCACTAATGTTAAGTAAACCCGTAAGTACATATAGATTTGGAAAGACTTATCCCCTTTTGGGAATAAAAGTTTACACAGAAACTGTGATTGAATCTTAGGGCTGTAAACAGCAACGAAATGTTTTTTAATTATTATTATTGTTTATATGAGATATGTCTCATCTATACACATGTTAGAACAATTTGTGATTGGTTGATTTGCTGATAAATTACATCCCCTCGAGTTTTTGAATGTATTTTGTAAAAGAACTCCGTCCTAATTGTATCGGACATCCAAAATTTCCAACGTCGATGGGCACAAATAAGACCAAGCTGATCTTTCACATTGTAAGTGATTAATGCATAATTTCGATCATAATAAATATACTCAGATAGCAAATATTATAAGCTTTAGAGTATTTATTTCTATGTAGAATAGATTATTTATTCATTGTAATTTTTTTATATATATATAAATGGAGGCTATATGTAAATACCTCTTTAGTTTAGTTTTATATAATGGGGCTCTTGTATGTATGTGATACGTTGCATTTATCTGTGCCATTGGTCTGGACTAAAGCCTGTTTCACACTACCATGAAAACGCAGCGTAATTTATGAACTATCAGTGTATATAGGAATTGTAGCTTTTGGTTCCATCGACAAAGATCTCATAAGTAAATATCAAATCTGATTGTAACAAATATTTAATTGAATTTTAATGTATTTTCTTTTTCATATATTGTATGGACTTTTATTACTATTTTTATACACAAATGTAATTGGAATATTTTAAAACATTTTTTTAAATATAATCTCTAATAAAATATGTACAAGAATTTTACCTGATATGCACAATTTGACTGCCCCTTCAGACACAGCTACCAAATGTAAATTGTATGTATAAAGTAATTACCAACTAAATGTTCTTTTGTGTGACACAGTAATCAATGCAATGAAATGAAAGCAATAAGTGTATGAGATTATGTAAATTTTATTTAATGTAATTTCGATGTTTTTAGATTTGTTGATACAAAAACGATTGTAATCTTAATACTGGGGATCTCTATGGCTAGTTGTATCTGATTTTGAGTACATATTATTATTTTTTGTATCTGAGTTATGTAGTATTTTGTAATTTCATATGTATCGATGTTTTTAGACAATTATATATAATGATATTAATTTAAACGTATGTGATGGTACAATTATAATAAAATTTCGAACAACGCATACTGGTTAATGGTAAATATAAAAAAATGGGTCTCAAACTAGCGACTAAGTCGGATGTGATAGGACGGTTGAGTTTAGAAGATCGTTTGCGACATTTACTGTGTAACAAAAAAACGCGCGTTTTATTAATACGTGTGAAAGAACTCTTATTGTTGAAAATTTTAAGTTACTCGTACAATACTATTTCGTTTTTCACATATATAATATAAAATGAATTCCAAGAAAATGTCAATTATGTAAGTAAAGATTTGATTATACGACCAAATATGAAAATTTCTTTTGTTTGATTTTCATTAGTGTTTTTTCAAATTTCGTAGTATACAATTGAATGTCGCATTCGATACGTAGTTATATGCCGAGGGTGCCAATTCTTATATTGCTCGATATCATAAATTGTTTATGTATAAATGGTACGCAGTGGTTTTGTTAGTAAAGCCCGGGCTGAGTGACCGGCTGTAGTTAGTTTTACGAATTTTAAAAGTATGTTATGTTGTACACTGTACGGTGTTGACAATATCTTTTTGAATTCTTCTATATTTTGTATACAGCCCAATATTTATTGTACAGTGTAATTAAATACCATGCATGTATTATTGTTTTTCATTTCGACAGACGATTTAATTTTAACATATGTAAAATTTCAAAGATTTAAATATATAATATTCATTTATGCGAACTTTCGTAAAGTCGATTTAAAAGACTGTCCTAATTTGATATCTAATGAGGAAGGGAATTGAGGAACGTTAGGCCATTTATTTATTGTTATTACAATTAAATATTCAATATAAAAGATATCCCATGTACGCTTATTCACCAGTCAGACGTTAAATGGTCAATTAAGGTAAACTAGAGGATTTTGTATTTATATGTATAGGCATATTTAAATTAATTGTATATACTGTGATGACCATAAAGCAGTATTGTTACTTTAAACATATAGTACAGATATATTTCAAGAAGAAAAACCCTGCGATTACAAACCTTCTTGCAGTTTTTAAATCAAAAGTGAACTATACCAATGTATACAAAACAGTTTCATAGCTAAAAATAACTTTATCCTACAAGATTTTTTTCGTAAAATAAATAAAATTTCGAAACCATAGAAAGTACCGACTCATATTTTTTTAAGGTTGTACGTATGTGTTTGTGGGTGTGGGTGTTTGTTATTAAATTTATCAATAGTAATAATTTATTTAGATTGATTCAGAAGTTTCCATGTATGTCGTAGAATAAGTTTATTTCTTAAGTAGTGTCTCGCAAGGAGACATAAATTGTATTCGAACCGTCCACGGAATAGTAATACTCTTTTAGCACTGAACAACGTGTCTGTAATTGCCTCTCGTGTGAAAAAAGTCTAAAACAAAACCAAAAAAAATCAAAAGACTTAGGTAAGGAAATTTCCTTGATATATTTTTAAATCGCTACGCGTGTTAAAAGCACTGAAATTGTAGTCCCTTGCTCTTAAATAATTATATTAAAATCTACCACTTTTATATTTCTTAGAAATGAAACGAATCTACTAAAAATTACTTATCTTTAAAGTCTGTCACAAAATCATCTGCTTCCTTTTTTTATTCCCTCGGTAATTTTGGTTTTTCAGAAACTTACGAATTTAGTGCTTATTACTTAAAATAATAAAATTTATATATTTGAATAGGAAAGTATGTCACAATAATTTTGAAGCAGATTAAACAGAAGAAGCTGATATTGTAAAATGGTTTTGGTTTGATATTTATCTTGCTCATGGCAGGTATGGAAGAATTTAACAAATAACTTATAGCATTGGAAGAAAACAAAAAACATCCTAAAAGCCGCTATCTGGTCGAATGTAACCTATAATAGCAGATCACATATCCCAAGGATAACCATTAGTTTTAATAATTGATATTTGTTTTTGTTGGTTAACATTGATAGACATATACAAAATAAAAAATAGTATACATAAAGTTTGTGACACGATGATATCCTAGCGAAGGCAAAAGGTAAAGAGGCAGACCACAGAAAAGATGGAAGTTTGCATAAGGCTAGTGGCAGACGTCACATGGAACAGTGGTTCAAGAAAGACATGAGTGGAAAAGATTGGAGAAGGTATTTGTCGACTGGTGAACAGATTTACAGATCATAAGAAGATATCAGATAATAGACTGGGTTTATAATTATAAAAATAAATTAAAGTTTTATATTATGTACTATGTAATACGGATCTAAATAAAAGGCTATATTATACATGAAAATATTTTCTTATTGAATTGAATAAGTTGAAGAAAAGAAATGATACAAGGTAATTAATAATAAATTTCTAATAAATGTCATTGATATTAAATCTTTGCCTGGTTTGTTAATTAAAGTGGCTTAGAAAATAATTCCCATTGTTAACAATTTTAGACCAAAAAAACTCTTAAATAGTTTGTCAATCATGAAGTTTCATTGTTTTCTGTGGTATTCATGTATTTTTTATAAATTCGTTATACATCTAAACTACTTTATATAGACCAGTATGTTTTTAAAATGTGTAAGTATATTCTACTATACTAGATAATGAAGAGATTATTGCCGATTTCGATATTGGCATCTCGTGATATATTTTTACGAACAACATTGAGTTCAATGCATAAAAAATTTCAACAAATTGCATTAGCATAATCTGATTGGTATATGCATGATAATTGGAAAAGTAATTATACTTTCATTAAGTATTCGGAATGTTAAATGATTGGATATATATATTAATTAAAATCGAATTGTTTGGTGCCTTTTATAGCGTATCGAATGTGATATAATTATTAAGATTATGCTTCGCTTTTCTCTGTGCCAGAGAGGAATTTTACTTACATAGAGTCGGATCTTCGGTCCTTTCGATTTTCACGCCCAGAGCAAAAACTTACCTACCTATAGATTTATATGTCTAGTTTATGACGGAATGTCATTTGATTTATCATAATTTTTCGCGTTATTCTCCTTGTTTGTCTGAAATAGGGCCAAGGCTTCAAGTATATATAAAATACGAGTAGCTTCAATCTTCACATTTACTGATCGGATTTTGTCACACAACACACGAAGTACCACGTTACAAAGGTGTTGTTGTCAATGCAACTCCACTTATGTCTTGACTTGCACAAATACAAGTGACCACAAACGGCTCAAGCATGCTTACACAAATGTCATTTCAGTAATACTTATTCAAGAGTGTACATGCAGTGAGTTATTTATGCTATGGATGACGCAATGAGCTTTATTTTAGCTACAAATAAATTAAAAATTCAGAAGAGACACCATTTTGTATGGACTAAATACTGGTTAAGGAAAAGAGAGTATCAGTCTATTG